TCTGATGTATACGCAAACTACAGCCTGGGGCACATAGGAGTGTTCTAATGTATATCACGGGTAGGAGAGATATGAAGTATCCACTGAAGAGGACATCTGAGTCTCGTGTAAAAAGAGCAAGGCCGTTTTGCCGTCTCCAGATGGTAGCGGACAGCGTTAAGATTGGAATGAGGTTCTCTGATGTTGCAAAAATTCACGGTAAGCGTGACAGGGGTCGCCTTGGTGTTGTTGCTCCACTTTCCCCGAGTAGTTTTAGTCCCCCCCCCCCGCCACCAGAATACTCGGGGCAGCCTGAGTTCCCACGCTCAGAAAGAGTAAAATAATTGATCGTGGATGCTCAGCGAGGTATTCTCTAACCAGGGATGCTGGTACCCTCCTGGGATAGTTTTTTATTGATTCCGCTGCCATGTTAAGGGGGGGGGGGAATTGGGCCTCCGGCCACCTGGACTTACCAACCGAAACGCAGAGGTAAATTAATAGTTCTCGCTGGTATTCTGTGAGGTTGTGGTACCACGAGCCGGCCAATCCGTGCGATAGAGAAAGCTGCCGTGTGACTCTACCACTGTTGAGTATCAACATCAGAATCAACATGGATGGATGGATGGATGGGAATCACGTTGATTCCATCCATATTGATTCTTTCTCCGTTCACACAAATTAATTGTTGTCGTTTTTACATTATTTACTTATCATTACTATATTTACTACGTAGGTACAGTAGAATCCAGACAAAAAACACAGCCTTAAACGATGTTGCTACATAAACTTAGTAATTATATACTCTTTGTTACTATAACCTGTAAGCACTGTCATTTTTTTAATATGGCAATAAATTTTCATATTTTTCTTTCACTAGGGATGTACGATGTTGCAGAAACATCGATGATGCAATCGATGTTGGTATCGATAGCTCAACATTGATGATCGATGTTTATCCTACTCAAAACATCGATGTTGGCCATTATCGATGTTTTTGCACATGTACCTATTTAATAGGTTAAATTAGATAAATCGAAATTGGGAATGTTGTTTCTGGTTTATTATTAACGAAATAAAAGAAATAAAATAAAATAAAATTTGAGTATCGAACAGTAATAAAAAAGCGGGAAGAAGTTAAGAAATATTTAGTTCATTTGTTATATTTTTCGCCGATGAAATTTAAATGTTCCTATACACTCATAAATCTGGTATGAAAAAATTTACTATGGGACCTAATTTACGATTTAGACGTAGGTTTTATATCAAGTATTACTGTCGCAAAATAAAATTATGATTATCGAGAAAAAATTAACAAATTACACAAAAACAAAATAATAGACTTTTCCGTCATCTTTGCTCACAATTTTAATGAATGAATGTATGTGTGTGTGTGTGTGTGTGTGTGTGTGTGTGTGTGTGTGAGTGTGTGTGTGTGTTTGTGTATGGGAATTAGAGTGTGTGTGAGTGATTGTGGACGTACCTGCTGTTGCGTGAGTTAGGACTAACATATAATTGCATTTAAACCCAAATAAGGAGAAGAAAGTGTGAAAACTTCGACGACATTAATATAAATTATATGGACGACTTTAGTAGGTTTTCGGTCGCTTCATAGTTTAAAGTTTTTAGATATTTCGTAAGAACGGATTTGCAGCTCGATTTAGGTAAAGGATAGAAGTATAGGATATTGTTCAGTTTATTATACATGTATGGTCCTAGGAAACAGAAGACGTTGTGTGAGGTGGCAGAATGAAAGGATTGGGTTCGACAAACAGAACCTTTCCTGCGTTTGTCTTTTAGGAGCTCCGGATCGTATTTACATTGAGAGTGTTTCATTAGGACAGTTTGTACGATGAAAGACTGTCTCACTGTTAGAACGTCCCACTTTCTGTAGAGATCCACTGTAGGAAAGAAGAACGGGAGACCTGCACTGACTTTTAGGATGGCCCTTTGGGCTCTTTCAACCTCGATTAGGTGGGTTTTAGCCGCACCACCCCATGAGCTGATGCAGTAATCTACAAGTGATTGGCATAGAGCGTGGTAGATTCGGCAGTCTGCTACGTGTTTAAGAGATTTAAAGATGTAAATGAGCTTGCGTAGCCTAGTGACAAGTATCTCGATATGTGGCTTGAAAGTCAGGGTTTGGTCTATTATAATTCCGAGGTATTTAATTTTGTCTGTTCTTTGAATAGCGGAACAACTGCAAATAATTGACTCAGAGTTGCAAACATGGGCTGTGATGTAGAGGGAGTGAGGGGGGACTTTGGTTCGACCTAAGTGTGAAGGTTATGTATTTTGTTTTATCAGTGTTTAGTGTCAACACATTCTTTTGTAACCAGAGGCAGCACTTAGTAAAACCTCTTTGTGCAGAATCAAAGACCTCCGTCCAACTATTACCACTGAAGAATAGTGCAGTATCGTCTGCAAATGAGAATTTTTTCCATTGTGTAGCTGAAGCTGGCATAAATCATTGACATATATCAAGAATAGCGTTGGGCTGAGTATGCTACCTTGGGGCAGACCAAATTTGACAGTTAACTCTTCACTTATCGTATTCTATATTCCAACTCTCTGCTTTCTTTCACTCAGAAAGTTTGATATTAACTGCAGAGGTAAGCCTCTAACACCGATTTTTTCTAGCATGGTTATGAGGTGTGGGATTAAAAATTGAAATGTTTTCGCTAGATCGAGAAATATTGTTAGGCATTTTATTTTTTCATCCAAGTTGGTTATGACTGAGTTAACAAGCTCATGTACCGAATTATTTGTTGACTTGCCTTACCGAAATCCTAATTGCGCTGGTGAAAAGAGATTATTTCCCTCCAGGAAATTGATTAAGCGCTTATTTATTAGGCGCTCCAAGATTTTGGACAGTGTGGGTAAGATGGAGATTGGCCTGTAGTTATTGACACAGTCCCTCTCACCACTTTTGTGAATAGGTTTGATGAGCGCTGTTTTGAATGCTGTGGGAAAGATTCCCGTAGACAAAGACAGGTTGCATATATGTGTAATAGGGGGGGGGGTAAGGATATGTATATATCTCTTGAGTATTATGCTAGAAATCTGGTCGAGCCCTACTGCACAGTTGTCTCTTAAACCCTGGATCAGCTGGAAAATTTCATCCTCATCCGTAGGTAGCGTAACAAATGAATTGGTGGGGGATGGATACAAGACGTCAGGTTCAGTAAAGTTCAGTTCAGTTTCTGTGTCCAGAACGTAATATAATGTCTTCAGCTAGGTTCCGTCCAATATTAGCGAAGAAATAGTTGATGTCGTTTATACTTTTCTCCGGATTTTCGGGAGAGATAATACAGGATGAGCGATACCCTATTGGAGCCGATCAGATTTTTTATGGCTTCCCACAGCTTTTTTTATTATGTTTCGCGTTCTCGATCTCTTGTTTCTCATAATCTCTTATCGCCTTTTTAAGAAGAGAGTTACAGTAACTCCGGTAACGTTTGTAAGTTAGTTTGAGTGCTTCATTTTCTGGGTCCTTTTTTAATTTCTTGTAAAGGTTGTCCCTGTTTTTCATACAACGCATTAATACTTTGGTAACCCATGGTTTCCTTATAAGTTTTCTTTTAGGTGTTTTAATCAAGGTGGTATTATCTCTTATGGATGTATTTAAATATTTCAGAAACAGATCTGTTGCTAGGTTTGCTTCCATGCATTGAAAAATTTTCTGATATTTAAATATTTGCATAGTTTTGTCTAATTCCGAAAAGTTAATGCGATAACTTGACTTATTTAAGTATTCTGGGAGAGAAAGTTGAGTAAAGCTGACGGCTACACTTTCGTGGTCAGTAATCGATGACTCCAAAATGAAACAAGTAGCCACTAATTTAGTTTTAATTATAGTGTGATCCAGGCATGTTCTACCACGGGTGGGCTTGGTGTGTCCTGGAAGCATGCTATGACTCGCCAATACATTTAGGTAGTCATGTGAGCGCTTATCAGAGCTATCCAGGACAATATCTATATTGATGTCGCCACAGAGAAGTATGTTTTTATAGTTCTTAAGTTTAGAACTATAAAAACATAATTCGTCGTTTAGATTTTAATCATGCAGCCAAAGCTGTAAGTATCCACAGCCGTTTATAAAAGTGAAATTGTCTATGCTCGCAATCACCCCGTAATTTATTTTCATTTCGTTATGACAAGCAAAAAAGAAACAGCTCAATATAATTGAATTGTGTAGATACTTACATATTATTTCAAAATTATGTGGGTATAGACAGCAAAGGAAAACCAATTATTTTGATTATCAATTTACGTAGAACAGTTATTAGGCTACGACCGACAACGCCACCATAGAATAACAATACGAAAACAGTGACAACTGTGATATTTTTGTTCACACTTGACAGTTAAATGTGACACAAAATAATGACATTTTTTTAGGTTATCGATGCGTATATATGAATTCTGGATTATACAAAATTTTAAACCATTAATGGGAGATGCAAGATTTAGTTGATATTGATTTCGCAGGTTGTCATTGTTCCCAAGTTCTTATTAATCGATTGTTGGTTCATTGACATCGATGTTTGAAATGTGACAACATCGATGTTAAACATCGATATTTTAATTTTTAACATCGATGATCATCGAACATCGAACATCACTAATTCTTTCATTTCACCGATCGACGACGAGTGGAGGCGTTCGTTCGATCGCTTAATTAAGTTAACGTCATATTTTATCCTCAAATGTCTTATTTTTGCATCACACATGCTTAGGGGTAACCGAATAAGAAAAAAATCCAAGAACCCCCGTACCAGAAGAAAAGTACGTGTGCTAAAAGGCGTAAATGTAAACTAGAAAGTGTGTGAACGAAGTCGCGAGGTGTCTCGTCCGTCCGGTTTGATCTGGATTTGAGCAGTTCGAACCGCAAGTTGGGAGTCCCTTTCCCTCTAATTAATTTATTAATACTGTTCAGTGGTGTGTTTTACAAACTTTAACGTTTATTTATTAGTAATCTTTAGTGATTGTGTGGTGCGTTAGTTAATTTAAGCCCTTTCAAAATGTCTGAAGAGTCATCAGCGGATCGAAATGTCGAAATTTGGAAGATCAAGAAACTGATTAAGAGCTTGGAGATGGCGAGAGGGTAAGCTAATGAGTTTTTGAATAAAATATTTACTTTAGTTAGGAGTGTCATGCTGTTTTGTAACGTTCTTTGTATGATTTGTTTGTGGCTATTTCGTTGAGCGAAACTGCCAACACGGCTGCGTCATTTGCACAAGCTGACACATGCGCGTGTTGCATGCGCGGATATAACCTTGTACACACGAAAGGGGTAGTAGAATGCGTAAATTTACGTTCCAGAATACTGTACCCAACAAAGTTTTTAATGCATAGATGTGAAATTATTTTAATTTCAGGCATAGTGCCTTTATCGTGTTTCAAATATGTCTTACACAAACATCAATCGTTTCGACGACAATTATTTTATTTCACCAGGTCAGTTTGGTCGTGATTTTAGCATCGTCGCGCCATTTATTGCGACATGCTTGAAAATCAAATTTACAAAATGCACGCAACGCGACTTGGACCCTTTGTTTTTCTTTGTTTCCATCAGTTTTTGCCATATTCATCTCCTAATATAGGTCTGTGTTCAGTAGTGTACTTGTGAAGGGCAGTAGTGATGATGAAGGTAAGAGATCCCAACAATATTTGCATTAATAGATCATGTTAAATTGAATAAAATACTACTTCAAAAAAGGGAGAGTTTAAAACTCAACTATAGTTTGTTCTTTATAAAGTATATCAGAGGATAATTACAGATTTAGTTGATTTCTTGTCATCAGTAAATTAACTTTCCCAGTGGTCCTTTATAAGTTTCAACTGGATCGAATTACTGTATAATTGCCTTTTATATTTATTTTATTAATGGATAGAGGTAGCTCAGGACCATACTTTGTGGTAATCTATAGAGAGAAATATATTCAACTATGTACTTAATGAAGGGATGTAGTGGTATTTTTTAAATCCATTTATTCTATATTATATATTGCAATTGTTGCCTTCCCCTTTTTTCTTAAACTTGAATGAATCAACTCATTAATAAAATGTTTTGCTGGGTTGGGTTTACAATTCGGTCGCCTGAATTTGAAAATTCTGTCACTGTGGGGGGGGGTTTATCTGAAGCACCCCCACTCGATTTTTGCTGCCGGAGCAGCGTCGAAGTATTTTTTATTATTTTTTAAAAATATTGGTTATTGACTAATTAATTAAAGTTTCATCTGTCAATGTCATATCGATATATAGTACTGAATCGATCTAGTGAATCGATATTTCACCCTAGAGAATCGAGATCGAAACTTTTTCTGGTTTATAAAGATTTGTAAAATTATTTACAATTAGTTGAATATACCCTAACTTATAAAGACTGACAGTTTTTAATTCAATCATTCAATGTTATCTGTACTTTATTGTATCTTTTGATAATGCAAATCAAAAAAAGATTGATTTTTGCGAAATCGATCTTTACGATTTCAATTTTTGTGAATCGTTTCATCCAATTTCGATTTGAATCGATTTAAAAATGTGTAAAATTAATCGCTAGGCCGGCCATTTTGTTGACAGTTTTTCGTCATGCCTCTCTAGTATATACACAGTAATCTATGGTCATGCCGTTGCTTCAGAGTTTCATAATTTTGGTGAATAGTGGAATATTTGTGGCGGCGGAATACTGCTAAATATCGCAAAGATCCTTTCTTACAAATGGTGACAGCCATAAATTATGTTTATAAATTAAAGTAGTTATAAAAGTTAATGTTTTGGTGTTATATTGGGTGCAATAGCGAGCGAAGCGAGCCTAGGATGTGGGCACCCCGACTCGGACAGGTTAGGTTAGAAGTGGACGACGGGAGCGAGTGAAGCGAGCGAATAGACCCCGTAATCCCCTTTGTGGTTATTTTTTGTAAAGCACTCAGAAGTAGTCAACCTCGACCGGGCTTCCCTTGACTGCACCACGTTAAGTGGCGTGGGGCTTCCGTCCCCTAACTCTCTCTCCCCATAAATCAGGTTAAAATTGTCATAACAATTATGAAACATAACCTCAAAATGAGATTTTTAAAAATTTATAAAATAAACTAAGCACGTCCGGCAGAAAGTGGAAGTAGGGGGGTGACTACAACTCCTCCCCTCCCCCCACACCACCCCCACCACCCCCACCCCTAATTCAGGCGACCGAATTGTAAACCTTACCCGTTTTGCTTTATGAAAACTAACTTTCTAAAAAAAATGGAATGCTTAAAGTATTGTATGTTTTTTTTTATGGCTGACAACTCTTTGTGCCAGTATTTTAGCTAAACAAAGAGAATTGACTCATATAATATACACACTTCAGATTGATAGAGAATTGTTGGTTTTTTATCAAAGTTATTACAATCTTTTACTAAATATAAAATTATTGGGTAAATGTGTGTGTGTGTGTGTGACGCCATGTACATACAAAACTTATTTTGTGTGCTTCGCTGGGTTCTATAGTGAGATTCAGTCTGCCTTATTTATAAGTTCATGGTTGCATATTAATTTATATAAAATTTTTCACATGTGCCAATACTGTTACAGTCACAGTGTTAGTATGGGTCATTATAGTGGGAGGAGACAGTTAATAATATTTTGTCTTTTCACTACTTTCAGCAATGGAACATCAATGATTTCACTGATCATCCCACCAAAGGATCAGATCTCGCGAGTCTCTAAAATGTTGGCAGATGAATTTGGAACAGCCTCTAACATCAAGTCGCGCGTCAACAGGCTCTCTGTGCTTGGAGCTATCACCTCTGTGCAGCATCGACTCAAACTTTATACTAAAGGTAATTGAAACTTTACTAAGCAATACAGTGACATTTTCATATACATACTTTCTGGCTCGGCAGATCTTTCTGCCCTTCCTGGTAGGTGGTGCAATGATTTCCCTCTGAACTTTTTACTAAGTAAATATTAAAGTTAAAAATAACTCGACCACAGCAAATGTCTTAATTATTCATTATATGCTTCCATTGTTTTATTTTTTGTGTTTTCAATTAGTTTTGGCAGTAATTCAAAATGTGTAACAATGTCATTATGAGTCATTTTGTTCCATAAATAAAGAATTTTTAAAAAACTTGACTACAGTGACTTTACCAAACTACACTACTACTAACTAAAATATATTGTGTTCACTCATTCAAGTTTGATGGCTCGGTGGCGCAGTGGCTTAGCAATAAGTTGCAGCTCTAAGGGTCACGGGTTCAAATCCCGCACAGAACAAGTATTTGTATGAGGTAGTTTTAACTCAAAAAAAAAATAGGGTTTAATGTGGAGGTAGAATTTGTGGTTCTAAAGCTGAATGCACATTTGTCAGCACCGTATGTACCGCATTTTATAAAATGTGGTAGGTATACGAACATTGAAGGACATATGCTGATGACGTCATATAATACAGTGCGTTCGGCGCGTGCTGACACTGTGTTGCCTAATGTTGCCAACTAAGTGTATTTTCCACTAAAACTGGTGGTTTTGACTATCGTTTCGATACATATTTTTACTTCGTTTCTGGAGCATTTTCTTTTTTTCTTTTACTGTGTAGCCAACAAGGAGTCGTCATGCATAACTTTTTATAACTTTTAATTAAATATAATTAAGTAATAAGTCATAATTTGAAGAAAAAAAAACTTTTTTGCTATGATTGTCAATGTTACAATACTTGGCAACAAAATAATTTAAATACAATAAAAAATTGATAATTAATCTTAATTCAAAATCACAATTATATCTGATCACTTAATTATCTATAAAAAATACTTATCTTAAACATACAACAAGTCTTTCCTTTGGTTCAATGGGGCTTCTAAATCTTGAGTTTTCCATAGAGAGATATGGTTTTAGATTTTAGTATGTGTAGCAATTCTTGAAATTTCTTGTATGCAAGTCTAGTCTTAGTCTTAAATGCAAATATCTAAAAAGTTATTCATCATCAATCTAATAAGTCTTTTTGAATTAATATTATGAATCCAGAAGAATTTTATTTTCTTCTTCCTCTGCCAATAAGTAGGATATTACAACAATTTTTCTATAACAATCCGAGTGATCAACATCACTGTACCACCGTTTCACACCAGTAGTTGGAAAAAACTGTGAAAGTTGTTGGTAATACAAAAAAATTGCGTAAGGTGCATATGTACAAATGTGCGAGGCCATCCGCAAAATACAGCGTGTACGGTGCGGATAAATGTGTGTTCAGCTTAATCCAGCCCTAGACAGCTATTTATGCTATGCTACCAATTGGAGGTCATGTTTTAGTTTTCTATAGCAATATATTGCAGTAATCATGTTTATCTTTCATTGCAGTGCCACCAAATGGTCTAGTCATCTACTGTGGTACGATTGTCACTGAGGAGGGCAAAGAAAAGAAAGTGAACATTGATTTTGAGCCGTTCAAGCCTATCAATACATCCCTGTACTTATGTGACAACAAGTTCCATACTGAAGCGCTCACTGCATTGCTGGCTGATGACAATAAGTTTGGCTTCATTGTGATGGATGGTAATGGAGCACTGTTTGGTACACTGCAAGGAAACACTAGAGAGGTAACATGGTCTCACGTCAAATTTTACTTCTTCACCAGTCCGTTAAATTCAACTGCTACTACATAGATCTGCCATTTTACATGAATGCATTGATCTGATGCATCACATAGTGGTATTAATGTTATATCTATTTATGAAAAATACATCAATGTTTTCATTACATCAATTGTTTTTTTAAACACTAACAGAGAAAATTTCATAATGGTTTCCTACTTAATAACTTTAAGAATCGAGACGGGCGACTTACTAACTTAATGAAAACAATACATGCACTCATTATATGTTTTCCGTGATGTGGGTTTGCATTTATATAATTTTTTTATGGGTTGATGCTTGGCTAGAATGAGTGCCATTCAGTCATGTTGATGGGAGCATGGCTATTACTGTTTGACAGTTGACATTGATTTATTTGGCATGACAACATTGGCCTATTACAACACACATGGGGGAAAATGTGGTGATAGATACTCTTACACAATAACTATATGGTATTTTCATATCATGTGAACAATAAGAATTTTGATAGAATCAGGCATTACTTTGCGGAAATTCAACTAAACCTTAGCGGTCAGCCGGACTGCTAAGGTTTAGTCTACATTACCTGAAGATGCCTTGTGGAGAGGCGAAACAAGTGTATTACCGTCGATGGTGTGTCTTACCTGGAATAGTGGTGTTGGGAGTAGTGGTGCTGGGACTAGTGGTGACGGAGTTAGTGCATGCAATTGAGGGGGGGCGGGAGGTGCTCTTCAATCCAGGTAAGACACATCATTGTATATATTTAGTGGAAGGTTGCGAGGAAATTTATATTTTTATTTTTTATAATAAGAATTTTATCCCCACTGGCCCTGTAGTGTGGCCACTGTAGAAATGAGAGGAGGCTTGTGCCCAGCTATTGGTAGAATCATGAGCATAATAATCGTCATTAAAGCCTCTCAAAGTCCACTGCTGAACATAGACCTCCTTCATAGATTGCCTCATAATAGATCTCCTATCTAAAATTAAATAAATAAATAAATATAGGAATAGCTAAAGTAAACTAGTCCTGCTGTTTCATTGGATTTCTTACATTTTATACAGCATATGCTGCAGAACTAAGTCTGCTTGCTAGTTTTGATATATGTGGGCCCCATTGAAATTTAGTGTCTAGTATGATTCCAAGAACAATGGTGGTATCGACAAGACTTAGCTCCTCCCCATTTAAAATTACATTAGTTTTTGGATGTTAGACATATGTAATTTGCCATAGTTCCCTTGCTGAGCAGATGAGTAAGCAACTGCAGTTTTTTATTATTTAGTTGCTATCAGGATGGTTGTTTTTTTTTTATAGGATTGAGTGACAAACAAGCACACAGTCCACCTGATGGTAAGTGGTTGCTGTGGACCATAGACATCTACATCTATCCTCGATTACAAATCAAAATGCAGATTTGCAGTGAGGACTAAGACAAAATGCCTCATTTCCAGTAAAAAGGGTCTCCGGTTCTCTACACTAACCATACGAAACACTGCAGCATTAAGCTACTGTTTCATGCTGGTATTCTGTGAGAGCATGGTCCTTCCCCGGTCGAGTCGACAACTATACCTCTAATATAACTGCAGCATGGCTCTACCATGTATAACTGCAGAATAACTCTACCACTTATGAACACCAATAATTTTTGTTTTACACAAATTATTAATTTTCTATTTTTAACATGTATTTTTATTGTCAATTATCGATCATTGACTGCCTTGTTGGTCAAGTGGTCGTCGGCATGACTGCTGATCATGTAGTCCTGGTGTTTGAATCCTGGATTGGGCCCAAACCAGTTCTTGTATTTTTCTGTCAAGAAAGTCTGAGAATCAGGCTGGATTCAAGTATTTAGTAGTGTTTCACCCCAAGCAAAAAGCCTTTTAGTCCTGCATCTGATCTCCATACAATTTGGATTACTGTCTCATGGGACAATTAAAGTGAGAGAATATAGTGATGCACCTTTACTTGCGCACACTCATGCACTGTTACCATTTTCTGTGCAGATGGTTATTATTAAGTACAGTTACTATAAGAAGAAATATTCAACTTACAGGTGCTCCACAAGTTCACCGTAGACCTGCCTAAGAAGCATGGCCGTGGTGGTCAGTCTGCGTTGCGTTTCGCCCGTCTTCGAATGGAAAAACGTCACAACTACGTGCGCAAAGTTGCAGAGGTTGCTACGCAATTGTTCATCAGTGCAGACCGTCCCAATGTGGCAGGACTGATCTTGGCTGGTTCTGCTGACTTCAAGACTGAACTGTCTCAGTCCGATATGTTTGACCCAGTAAGTCAAATGCAAGTTTTTCTTTACTTCAGTCATAAGTCTTCCTATACTTTTAATATACTTCTGCCAATGTCAAGTCAAGGTCTGACAAAAGTCTAACAAAGTAAATGAAAACTTGTCTTGTATACTTAAATTTTTATTTTGTAAGAGCTTTCTAATCTACAACAAAAACAAACATTTAATATCTTGCCGCCAACAACGATTTAGTATTATGTTACAACTTAATATTATTAGTGTAGATGAAATCAATAGAGTATCGAATATCACACGTGTGTGTGTGTTTCGTAACACTGGTACGAAGTTTTATATGTGGTAGAGCCAAGCTGCAGCTATATTATGGTTGTAACATGAATGGGTCGGCTCGACCGGGGAAGGACGACGCTCTCACAGAATACCAACATAAAAAATAGCAGCTTAATACTACTGTGTTTCATATAGTGAGTGTAGATATCCAGAGTCCTTTTTTTACTGGAAACAAGGCATTCCATCTTAGTTCTCAGGGGTCAATGCATCTGCATTTTGATTCTTAATCAAGGATAAATGTAGATCTCTGGGCCACAGCATCCACTTACCATCAGGTACACAGTGTGCTCGTTTGTCACCCTTATTCTATAAAAAAACAAAAACTCCTTTACTTTAGAATCGGCCTGTAGTGTGCCTGTACTGTGTTCCGGTCTGAAGGGTAGAGGACCAGTACAAGCTGTGAGGCATTCCATCTTAGTCCTTAGAAGTGACAATACACCCGTAGCCTTCTTTGGTTTGAAGTTGGCGCAGGGGTATAAAAAAGCGCATTATATTATTCTCTTAATCAATATTCTATACCTCATATTTCAGCGTCTCCAATCCAAAATCATCAAGCTGGTGGATGTGTCATATGGAGGAGAGAATGGTTTTAACCAGGCCATTGAGCTCGCGGCAGAATCGTTGCAGAATGTCAAGTTTATCCAGGAGAAGAAGCTGATTGGGCGCTATTTTGATGAGATCTCACAAGTGGGTACTTTTTTACCACTCTTTTTATCTTTTGTCTGTTAGTACAAATGAGATGTTCCAAAAAGTACGAAGCTTGGGTATGTCATTGCCATGTCCTTGTACACTATACTCAAAAATTGGAAAACGCATTTTAAACGGATCTCAACTGTCCAATTATTTTATAATGGCTTAGTTTGCTGGTATAGCACAGAAAATTACACTTGAAATTGCAACACACAACAAAAACCTGTTATGGCAATAAACTGTCATTTTTATCGAATTGTGCATGAAGATTAAGAGAACAGGAGAACGATCGCCGTAGAAAATAGTGTCTCAGAAATATTGACACCATAATTGTGAGGCGCTGCGTTCGTGAAGTTGGGTCAATAAAAGTCATTTTCAGTTTATATTTCCGATCAGATGCTAAACCACTTGCACATCCACGCACAGTAAAATATTTCTCCATTTTTTAATGTTCTTTTTGTCAAAAATTACAAAAATACGGAGCATGAAAATTTTCTAACCAATGCCATGGAGAAAATTTTTACATTATTGTACTAACTTCATCTACTTGTACTCATAAACTTCGCAGTTACTACTCACCGACGTCAGCGCCGCTATACATTCTACAATTTTCAGGGACAGGCGGGCTATGCTTTAGTATGTAGTGATCGTACTCCTGTTCTCTAACCTTCATGGTATGGAGTGTAGAAGTAAGGAGTACAGACTGTGTATTAAAAAGTGTCCATAGAAAACCGTTAAATAAGGGTGGCGCCACTATAACTATGGGGTAAATTTTAAAGAACGCACCGAAAAATATTAGTGGGATAGACAACTTTATCCAGGTTATATTTACAAAATAAAATTATTTTAGATTTTAGAGCTACTGAGCAGTTTAGCAGCACACTTAAACCGTCGACAACTGCTAAGTTCATCCCAGTAGCTACTCCAGCGCTGTTGTGAAGAGTTTTTGAGCTGTTATTTACTGCTTACAGATGGACTTTTTCAACTGTTCTACTATGGGAGTTGGTACTCCTTACTTCTACACTCCGTACTTCATGGATTAGTGGCATTTGACACTTTTATTTCACGTATTTTTGACACTGTTGTGAAAACTGACAGTTCTCTTTCTATGATCAATGGTCGCTATATAGTTTACTATCATTGTCTATAAGTACAGAGTAACTAAACTGGTGGGACGTCATGTTAAATGTTGATTAAAATAATTGATAAATAATAATTATTTACCACGACAGGATACATTTAAATGAATTACCTATATTTTTCCCAAATTCTACAGATTTTTCTCTTTTTTTAGGTAGTGTACATATACCTGGCCCATTTTAAAACATCTGCTTTTACAATATATTTAAACTAATTCCGCAATGAGTTACAGACTTAAAACTACGCATAACTCAGAACTGAATAACAATGCAATATGAACTGACTTATTTGTCTGACTGTTTCAATTTCACACACCCCAATAAGCTCAGAACTGGTTGTCCAGTAGTGGTTACAGGGAATATTAGTAATGTTCATAGCATTACTTGTGTTAAAAAAATCTAATATTAGCTCTCTTGTCGGGTTTTAACTTTAAAGTAACTTTCTGATAAGCTAAAGACTTCAAACTTTAAACATATCTCATAACTAGAAACATGGTATAAAATGGTCGCCATTTTGAATTATAATTATTAATTATTACAAACTTAGTTCATAATTATCACCTATATTGCTCTTTATATTTATCGTTTATATTGAAATTGCCATTCTAATTGCTTATGGTAACGATTGCGCGGAAAATTTATTCTATCAAATACACAGGTCACAACGTCGTCTTCATCGAAGCTTATTGTGATCATGATTTTAATTGCATACATGATGTATCCAGGACACGGGCAAATACTGCTTTGGAGTGGACGATACATTGCGCGCCCTTGAACTTGGCTCTGTGGAGACGCTCATCTGCTGGGAGAACCTTGACATACAGAGGTGAGGAATGCTGTGTGAGCTATGTTAACATAATCTGTATTGTATTAATAGCTGACCCATTAGATATTGTTCTGCACTTTTTGGTTGCTGTGTCGCATTAAGTTTTTTTTTTAATAGGATATGGTGACAAACAAGCACACAGTTCACCTGATGGTAAGTGGTTGCTGTGGCCCATAGACATCTACATCTATCCTCGATTACGAATCAAAATGCAGACGCGTTGTCACCCGTGAGGACTATAATGGAATGCCTCGTTTCCAGTAAAAAGGGTCTCCGGTTCTCTACACTCACCATACAAAACACAGCAGCATTAAGATACTATTTGGCCCTGGTATTCTGTGAGAGCGTGGTCCTTCCCCGGTCGTGCTACAACTCCACTAATAATATAACTGCAGCATGGCTCCGTCACCTATGAATCTCAAATTCATTTTAGATTTACAGAGTAAATCACATGTATCACAAATAAATAATATCGAAGTATCTGTATATAATGTCAAATTAACAGCTTTTTACTAAAAGTATATACATTACTTATAACAAAAAGCAAGTTTTAAAATTTTTGTCTGTCTGTCTGTTTGCTTATTACAGCTAATCTTTGAAATGAATGCACCGATTTTGAAGGGACTTACACTGGCAGTTAGCTGATGTTATAAAGAATGACTTAGGCTACTTTTATTTCAGAAAAATAATTAGGGTTTCGTGCAACAAAACTAAAACCCCTAAAATTTTATCGTAATAAATTCCATTTTGGAAACGGCTAGTAAAATAAAAATATATATATATATATATATATATATATATATATATATATATATATATATATATATACAGTGGATTTCATTTATTACGACCTTGGTTGTAGCGACCATTTACCTATAGCGACGTTAAATCTAAGTCCCTTGAATTTAAAGCATACTTTAGTACAAAATTCATGCGGCTATAGCGACTTTGGATGTAACGCCGAGTTCGGGTATAGCGACTGTTTTTGATGAATAATTTGTAACAAATTCTTAGAAATCCCATGCAGATATTGCGACCGGAGTCTGCCGCCAGACAAAAATATTTCTTTCCATACACAGATGGTCAGCAAGTGTCAAGCAAGACCTTTACCTTTTGTTTATAGATATTAGCTATAGTTCATAATGTGTGCATGCCCATAAAGTATGACATTGACAGGTACTGTCTGTACTACTAAGAAATTCAGGACTTCCTAGGCGTAATTTTTACTGACAGCTGTCGCAGAGATCAAGCTATCTTTTATGAACCATAAGTAGGTAGAAGAGCGTGTACATTTCGGAGTTAAATTTATGGTTCAGTTATAAAGTAATATTCTGAGTAGCATTTTGAAATGTACCAGTGAATAACTATGTGTGCAAATATTTTCAATAATAAATGAGTATAAACTATACATATGTATGTGACTGTATCTCTTTACATTTGCCTGTAACAACTTCTGGATATAACGACGAAAATTGAGTGGTCCCTTCATCGTCGTTATATCCGAAATCCACTGTATATATATATATATATATATATATATATATATATATATATATATTAATTCAACCAGTGTGTTACCTGACATATTCTGTGTATATGAGTTATTTTGCTTTATAAATATGAAATTTGTTAATAACTTGACTGTAGTGCCACCTTAGCTTACCTTCATCTGACACCTTAGCCTTGAGTCAGATGAAGCTGTAAGAGTCGCATAGACTAACAGCGCTAACATCTAGAAAATAGAGTAGTGCCACCTTTCGGATCCTAGCATAGTTATCAACCATCATCTTCACAAAATAAAAATTGTATGAATGTGACCTTCATTGGTCAATTTGTTAAGAATTTACATGATCACTATTTGATACACTATACATATATATATATAAAGATTAAATATTGTGAAGTGACGATGTGAGAATATCCACTACCCATGCCGTCGATGTCATCCCGTCGATGTCATAAGAGGCAACAAAAAAACAAATCAGAACATGGGCAGCAGCATCTTCCTAATAACTACTAAAAATAAAATAAAAACTGATTTCTTATATTTACGCGAACACTACACATTGAAATAATACTAGTTTTTACGGAATTTATCGCGTGTATTTAACTTTTTAAATACCCGACGTTTCGAACGCTTTACAGCACTCACGGTCACGGGCAGGACTGAGATGTTCAACGTCCATATGTCATAGTTAACCGCGGTTACCATAGATTAAAATTTAACTTCTGTTCCGATCTATACAGTATGAACTTATGGTATCTTGAAGTCTTGCGGTTGTATGCTTGGGTTGGGATTTAATTTTATTTATTATTGGATCCCAAGCAGATGGTAGCACCCAGCCATCTTCTCTATTGAAATTAGGATGTTTTTTGATTTCAATAGCCTCGCGAATCATCCTTGGAAGGAATCGGTGTTCTTTAGCGAGGATCTGCAGTCTATCAAATCTGATGTAGTGACGGGGGCGATCCTGTACGTGTTCACAGAGTGCATACTTCCCGGAGCGTCGATTCTTCACATCAGCTATATGTTCTTTAACGCGGGTTTTTATTGATCTTTAAGTTTGTCCTATGTAGGAGAGACCACATTCACAATCAAGCTTGTACACTCCTGCAAAAGTAAAATTTTAATCTATGGTAACCGCGGTTAACTATGACATACGGACGTTGAACATCTCAGTCCTGCCCGTGACCATGAGTGCTGTAAAGCGTTCGAAACGTCGGGTAATTAAAAAGTTAAATACACGCGATAAATTCCTAAAAACTAGTATAATTTAAATAAAAAACTGGTTGCCCACCCACTTTCCAAGCATAGCAGCTATTGCAAGTATCTCGCCTATGAAACAATCCATGGTGGAGGCCCTAGGTTCAGTAGTGAACTTTAGTAGGCTGTAATGGTAATGGTAAAGATTAAATAAAAACAGGAATGGTAGTAGCATAAGCACTAAGTGTGGGAGCACTTGTCAGAAATCCACTTTTACAGTGTTATTTTTCCTAAAAATAAATTCTTTATTTTATTCATCTTGGGACTAAATTCTTCAAGGCTTTGGTCGTTAACGATATAAGCATATTTTTTTATAGAATAAGGGTGACAAACGAGCACACAGTCCACCTGATGGTAAGTGGATGCTGAATGGCAGGCTGCGGACCGCGAGCTCAAAATATCGTAGGTTCGAATCATACTGTCGTAAACCATTCCTAACACAAGCATTTTGGTTTACCAGGAGTGGTACCACAACTGACAGGTGGGATGTGCTCAGCTGTGGGATGAATATAGGCTAGGCTGTAACTTTAACTTTTATGTTTAGAGAGAGGGCTTTGCATGATTTATAAAGTACAAAGTCAACTTAATAGCTTGTGTCAAATTAAAGTCTTAATTTCATTCATTTTTTCTATCTTTCTTACCTCTACTATGCGTGCAAATCACGCTTATTTCTATTTTTTAGTTCTTTATCAATGTTGTAGAGATTAAAAGCAATTTTTAAATTTCAATTCAAGGTATGCAAATATTTTATAAACGATATATCTATATTTCAGATATGTTCTGAAGTCGCATGCTACCAACCAGGAGACCATCTTACACCTAACACCTGAACAGGAGAAGGACAAGTCCCACTTTACTGATAAAGAGGTAAGGCTTGGAGCTTCCATGATTATTCATGGTTTTATTTGTTGGTTTTAAGGATTTTAAAGCCTCGGTCACATGTACGGCAAATACTCGCTATTTGTTGTGAATAGAATCATTCGCTGCTAGTTGAATTAAAAACTACAATCACTCTGTGTGTGACATACTATTTGCTGCAAATAGAATCATTCGCCGGGATTTCAATTACAGCTCAGCGCACCGCTTTAGACTACAGCTCGTTACATCGCTGTATAGTGTGTGGATACGTGTACATATATAACCAAAAAACTATTTTCTAAATAGGGAAATTACGATATAATTCGTTTTTATTAAAACGTGTATTTTCATATGTGGTAGAGCCACGCTGCAGCTATATTATGGTTGTAGCACGAATCAGCTTAACCGGGGTAACCACGCTCTCACAGAATACCGGCATAAAATAGCAGCTTAATACTGCTGTGTTTTATATGGTGAGTGTAGAGAACCAGAGACTTTTTACTGGAAACAAGGTATTCCATCTTAGTTCTTAGGGGTGACAACGCATCTGTATTTTGATTCTTAATCGAGGATAAATGTAGATGTATATAGACCACAGCTTCCGCTTACCATCACGTAGACTGTGTGCTCGTTTGTCACTCTTATTTTATAAAAAAAAAAATACATGCACATGCCAACCAAATACACTGTTTTAAACATGTGTGACATATAGACGACATATTTGTATTTGGGTCACCAACAGACTGTCGAAATTCTCGTGTAGAATTCGCTGTGTGTGCGCGACTATCAATGGTTTCATCGTTAGTTATATTCCAATAACCCAAATTAGTAACTATGTCACAGACAATTGTAACTAGTTTGTTTGTCTGTGGTTGGGTCATTGACTACCTGCTGTTACTAAATCTTTGGGGGAGGCTAATGCTCCACAGTGGACTTTAATATATTTTTTCAGTGAGTTTGTACCAATATATAACCGATAAATAACAGTAAAAAAATTACCTGTTACAGTATACATAATACATAACTTCACTTATTCTACAATAACTCAGCTCCTAGATTAATTTTTAGCTATGATTTTTTTATATCTACCCTTTCAAACGGTCCTACTTTCATCTTGTTAACATCAGATCTGAAGAATGTATGGATACTTCTCTTTCTCCTTTATGTTAAACTGATTTAATGTCACCACGTTACTGCCTAGAAGTCATGGTGAGTGTCACTTTCATTCATATGTCATATTGCTGTCACCAAATAGCAGTTTGCAATGCTGAAGGAAAAAGAGAGCCAGTAAAGTAAAAAGGCATTACACATTTTAGAATGTGATAGAGCCAAGCTGTCGCTATATAATGGTAACACGAATGGATCGGCTCGACCGGGGAAGGACCATGCTCTAACAGATTACCAACGTAAAATAGCAGCTTATTACTGCTGTGTTTCGTGTGGTGAGATTCGGAGATCCTTTTTTACTGGAAACGAGGCATTCCATATTAGTCCTCAGGGGTGACAACGTATCTGCATTTTGATTCTTAATCGAGTATAGATGTAGATATCTATGGGCCACAGCATCCACTTACCATTAGGTGGACTGTGTGCTTGTTAGTCACCATTACTCTATAAAAAAAAAAATTATCAACGCTCGAAGGTTACTGTAGATCTGAGGCCTTCTTTATTTGAAGTTGGACTGCTTTAGAATTAGGTTCCCACTTACCATCAGGTGGACTGTAAGTTTATTAGTCACTTCATTTTTATTAAATAAGCAATAATAATAAATATGTCATTACACCTACCTTCCATTATATTAAAATTATAGAAAATTTCTTGTAAGTTTTGGTTTATTCTTATAGAGCGGGGTTGAGCTTGAGTTGGTGGAGTGTCAGCCGTTGCTTGAGTGGCTCGCCAACAACTACAAGTCCTTCGGAGCCACCCTCGAAATCATCACGACAAGAGTCAGGAGGGCAGTCAGTTTGTGAGAGGATTTGGTGGTATTGGAGGTCAGTATACATTTGTATTACCTGTATTACTAAGCTAAGGGTTTTTAAGTGTATCTCTTTGTTTAATAAGCTTAAGACACAACATTTGAGAGAAAATTAGTTAGAGCCATTATTTTTTTGATGTAATTCTGATTCAACAACATGATTGAGTCGTTCTTTAAAAGAGTTTTATGGTAGAATATGTAAAGTTAACAGTCTGGTATATGCAACTTTAAAGCCGTTAAGTTGCCGTCCATGTAGAGCAAACTTCAGTGTTGCTTAGCCTTCAGTCTCAATGTTACTTTCGTTGTTAGTTTATTCATCAGTATTATTAAAATAAATTAGTCTCCGAGCTACCAAAACTCATGTCTAAGATCATTATACAAAATTTTTTTTGAGGACATGTCTCTTCTTATTTTAAAGGAAAAGTGGCTTCATCCAATCCATAACCAATAATTCTCTGCCAATGTAGTTTTAGAGACCATTTTGTGCACGAATCAAGAATTTGAGATACCTAAAAGTTTTTAGTTACAAATTATATTGAAACACAATAGATTTAAATATAATACAGGAATTAAACTGACTTACACTCATGCCTGCTCCAAGTTCTTAGAAATGTGCCAGTAACAGAAATCGAACTCTACATATCTAACCTGTAATTTAAATTGAATGTCCATCTGTCCATCGCTAATATAGCTATTTGATATCTGTACAAATCATAATGCTAAGTTTGTTCAAGCTGTGAACATTCCGGCAAGCAAATGTTATATATACTATACGAGTTTAATATTATGCCATTAGTTACTTTTTGTTTAGCATAAAATGAGTTGTAATTGAAGCATTTTGTGTAATTCTTGTAGAGGTGTTGGAAATCTTACTATATATTATATTATTTATGTAATTTGAGTATTTATAGTGTATATAAATATTTTTGGCCGAGAGATACAGAATCATAAAAACATTAAACACTCACGCCTGTCACCCAGAGGGGTAGGCAGAGACTACAGACTAAGTTATGTAATGCCAATGTGCACAGAATCATAAATCTCAATCAATAGTTATCATTACAAATTTAAAAAGAAAACAAAAATTAATAGATTATGATATCCATTTCATCCCAGAAGTGTCGTAACAGAGAATGGAGTATGGGTTATGACAGAAAATTCTTATAAATACTGATGTAGGGTTTATCTTATCTTATCTTAATTTCGCCGGACTTTATTTACTCAGACTGAGCGTAATGATAAAGGCAAGACCTCTACAATGAGAGAGATCCTTAAGAATGACATTCAATGTTATGATTTCTTATATTTACGTGAACACACTACGCATTGATTAAAACAACTTTTACGGATTTTATTTATAAACGATAGATTTATAAAATATATTTTTGAATATATAATAAAGATATATTTTTAAATGATTAATTCTCTGTAGATCGGATCATAAATAATAATTAAAAAGCTGATGGTACTCCAGGTACGCTAAGATACACATTCAGAGTTAGGCTTCTTTTGCACACTTCTATTTGAGATTTTCTATTTAATTGTATTAAAATCTGTTTTATTGTGACTTATGATACTTTTCCTCTCAGCTGCATTCATATGAAATTTTATTTTAAAACTTGTATGCTTTCGCCCATACACGAAACATATAACTAACATTTCTCTTCTTTTTCACTGCTGCTCGGATAACGCCGCCGGATATGACGGTATTCGTATATGTAAACTTTACTAATACAATAAACAGGCATACTCCGCTACAAAGTGGACTTTCAATCTCTCCAACTCGACGAACCGCTGGACGACGTGGACCTCGACGACTATTAAAAAAAATATACAACGCATTTTAGCATTCAAAAAAAAAAAGCAAAATATAGAAAAACCGACATAAACACAACCATAACTAACGTATAGTTTTAAGTAAACGCTTGCATGGTACATTTTAGTGGGTAACTTTCGCTGGGACAGAAATAAACGAGCGGTTGGAACGCGGCGAGTTTCTTTTTGTAATATAAATATTCAGTAAAGTAAGTTTTTGATTCATTAACAAAATGTTCGTCTACATACGTAGTCCGCGAGTTTCTAATGTTATTCATTTGAGAGTTTGGCTTTGGGCAGCGAGTATGAATTCATATTCACATTCACAAGGAACTAATATTTTTCCGGTATTAGGTGTTTGTCTACGTGTAATTCATGTTTATAAAGGTCCTTGCAATACAGGAGCACATCTGAAAAAAAAGAGTTTTAAAGAGTTGGGAAAATTTTATCATTACAGTGGACCCCCGGTATGCGTCACCCCTTAGGGCCGATCCTCATTATAATGCCGTTTACAGTTCGTGCTCGGTTCGACTGATAAAATATTACCAAGTAAAAAAAAAAGGGTGTGTATTCATACTATCCGTAAACAGTCAATAATCATTTCTTAAATTTACGCGAACACTACTCATTGAATAAAACTATTATTTACGGATTTTATTGCATTTAATTACTACTTTAACTTATTTAGTCCGGCTACATTATTATCCTTGTATACCTTATTATATATATATATATATATATATATATATATATATGCTTTGCGTCATCATTCAAATTGAAGGTAGCCAGACCAACTATGACATTGGGACGTCAAACATCTCAGGTCCCCCCGTGACCATGGGTGCTGTAAAGCACCCGAAACGCCGGGAATTTAAAAATAAGTTAAAGTAGTTAATTAAACGCGATAAAATCCGTAAATAATAGTTTTATTCAACGTAACAGTCAAGTTTCGCTCGATTCCTATTCCAATAATAAATCAGACCGAGAACGAACTGTGAACGGTAAATGAGGATCGGCCCTTATAATCCGACATGTCTTCAACTTGTAGGTAGATTCGAGTTGGGCTATGAATCCGCCACGGGGAGAGGTGTCCTTCACGTATGTGTGGCTTGTTGGAAATATAGCTTGACCCGTAATGTCTCAGTTGAAATGTGACTATAGTAGCGGCCTACCGGGAATTCATTATTTACTGTTTAGGTTTATTAATTGTGCATCACAAGACATTTTTTATTTTTTATTATTTTATATTTGATATGTAATCTGTCGGATTACAAGGTACTCTTTTTCAATAATTTCGGACTACCAGAGGGGCTGTGGCAGTACTCTATAGTCCGACAAATTCGATAATCCGACGCCGCCTTGCAAAACGTTTGTCGGATTAAAAAGTTAAAGTTACAGCCTATATACGTCCCACTGCTGGGCACAGGCCTCCAGTCAGTTCTGAGAGGGTTTTAGGGCAAGGAAGTGTCCGCCGCGCTGCTCTAATGCGTGTTGGTGAACTTCACATGTCTTCAAATATTTTTTTTCCTTATGCCTCAGACATGCAGGTTTCCTCACGAAGACATAGGGCTTAGCAGTGAAGTATAACTATAGCAGCGATCACAATAGATCTTTTAGGTCGCAGTGATACTGGTCTCTTTCCCTAGACCCGCATAGCTGCTCGCACATTATTAAAAAAACCCAAATGAGGCAACAACGACAAATCTGAGGCAATTTATAGAGTGAGGCTAATGATCAACCGTGGACTTTGATAATGCTGTTTCACATGGCGTGTATAAAAGTAAAGTTACAGCATATATACGTCCCACTGCTGGGAATAGGCCTCCCCTCATTTATGAGGGTTTTAGGGCTAGGAAGTATCCGCCGCGCGGCCCCAATGCGTGTTGGCGAACTTCACATGTCTTCGAAATATATTTTTTTCTTATTCCTCAGACATGCAGGTTTCCTCACGATGATTTCCTTTACCGCCGAGCACGTGGTAAATCAGCATTTAAAATTGCAGTTAACAATTTCATTGGTGCCAGCGGGGATCGAACCCAGGTTACTCTCATTCTGTTGTATTTAAAGCGAGCGTAAACTTCTGAGCTACCACGGCTCTTTTTTTTGTTTGTTGGATTATCGTGGGTCAACTGTATTGATTTTTTAATACTGTGATTAAAATTCTGAGCCATAGTGTTTGTTATCTGTATAACTTTATCAGTTTGATATTAAATATAATTAAATCTGCGCATTAGCAGACGGATTAAGAATTTTTATTTATTTGCTTATTATATTCATATAGCTTACTAACAGTCAACTTAAATGACATTTTAAATTAAGAAAAAAATTCTTAAGCTAATTGTAGTTTTAGTTAGACTACACTCCTAGTGATAACTTACTAGTAAACACAGCATGCACCATAACAATGACTTAGTAAGTATTAATTTAATTAAATAAAGTTAACAATTTGTAAAGAAAATAACGTAGTTTATCCATATGGTAATAGAATACAAAAGCTTTGCTCGAAATTAAGTACTAGCCATACTGTCGACAATCTTTTTAAGGAAACTGTAAGCCGAATCAAGGTACACGTCAACAATGTGTTTGTAGCTATTTAGAAGATTACACATTCTGAGAATCGAAATTTGTAAACATAGACTAAAAATATCAAACAGAAAAATATTTAAAAACTACTCTATGACTATTCCTTGTCATTTAAAAAAAAACAAATGGAATTATTGCATTAATGTAATTAATATTGCTATAAGCCACGTGCGAAGAGTGGCAACTATGGTAAGTATGTCTTCTGTGTGGCTTTCTTTTGGGGAGGTCTATAAGCAGTGGATGTGCTTTTAATATAGTTGAGTCTATTGTAATATGAACTACTTATTATGAGCTGCCAAAAACAAAAAATATAGAAAAGCATAGAAACAGCTGAAAACTTTGAAGATGACAATCGCAGTACCAAACGTGCTGCGCGTCGCCAGTCTAGATATTTTATCACTCACTGTCCCGTGACTCACATATGGGTCATTGCTATTGTCTCACTACTGTATCTGGAAACCGGACAATGAAAGTGATAAGGCCGTAAACGAGTTTTTTTATAGGAAAGGGTGACAAACGAGCATACAGTCCACCTGATGGTAAGTGGGTTGCTGTGGCCCATAGACATCTACATCTATCCTCGATTACAAATCAAAATGCCCCCGTGCACCCGTGAGG